GTGTGTGTGTGTGTGTGTGTGTGTGTGTTTGTGTGGGGGGGCTACACAATAAAAATGTGTTTGTGACATATTTTTAAACATTTTGTTTTACCCTTGGCACCGCAAAGCCATAATTTGGACCTTAATAAAAAAGGATAAGGTTTAAATTTTTGTTGGCAGTAGGTTTCAGTGCATTTAAACTCTTTATGATGTAAAAAGATCTCCCACACCCACCCTGGTATGTTCTGTTTCACCACGCTCAAAGGTAAGGTTTTTATCAGTTTGATGTCAGAAGAAAGGCTTCGATGCAGCAACAGCAGTGGCACCAAGAAACCAAACAGCTAAAATTATAAAATAAGAAAAATGGAGACAACATAGTCATCTGTTATACAACTGTGGTATTTACTACTTTTCATTATGTTCTGTTCCATTAGCAGTGTAGTTTTAGAGAGTGAAAAAAATTTGGATGACTTAAAGCAATATTAAATTAATAAAACAACACTTACAGTAATGTAATTTTACTAGATGTCGATCCATTTGTTCCTCAAGTTTGTACTTTTTCTAATGGTGAAAGAACACAAAACTATGTTTAAAAAACAAAATGAAACTAATTTAAGTACTAAAAGCAGATTTTGGTAGTACATCATTATATATATTTAATGTTAATCATTCTATTTAAGATTTTAAAGTTTGCCACACCAAATCCTTGATTTGAATTGTTTAGTTGCCTTTCCTGGGTTTTTTTTCAAGTGCTAACCGTTTTAATCTTTGCCACTGGTGAACTTCAGTTAGACTTACTACAAAGAAAATATGTTTTAACTTGTTTAATTAGAAAATAAAAGTGTTAAAAGATAGTAAATTACTGAATTAAGTACTGATTAACTATTCAGTCAGATGTCAAAGTGACCCTGGGCAGGACCCACTGTCTCTGATGCATCAGTGTATGAATGGGATTTAAAGAACTGATTAGTCTCCATAGCTGATTTGTACATGTTAGCTTTGTAGAGACCTAATAGAGTGCTGAATGAATGCGTCTGTAAAAATGAATGTGTGTGTGAGTGGGTAAATGAGGGCACAGATTGTGTAAAGAGCTTTGAGTCATCTGGTTGAAACTTCATGTTGACAGGCTGACCTGAGAAAACCTTAAAACATCTTGTGCAAAAGCTTTGTGTTTGATTTTTCTATTGAAATTGCAACAACTTTTAGTTTCTTGTGCAACCTCAAACACAAAAAGACTTCTGAATAGATTTCCACAGAAATGAAGGAGCAGATTGTTAAAACGATTGTTGATTGATCCATAAAGACCTTCAGTTGATCTTGTGACTATAAACGATCCATATTTGTCTTTGTGCTGTTATAGAACCAAGCAAACCAGTTGGAGGATTGTTAAATCTGCTCTGTGAAAAACACATTTGTGTTTTATTGGACAACAGCTTTTTCATCAGCACCACAGTGTTTAACAAAAGATTGATTAAAATAAAACTATTTATTAAAAAGGGACCAAATATGTTGGGCACATAAAAGGTTGGAGGACTAATGTCATATTAAAAATTAATTTTACCTAATGTTAGTTCCTGCTGATAATACTTCTGAAAAAAAAATAATTATGTTCATTACTAACAGGACACATAGGTTTGTGTGTGTGTGTGTATGTGTGTGTGTGTGTGTGTGTGTGTGTGTGTGTG